TATCAAACATTATTTTGTTTTTCGTAGAATTTGAAGAATCCAGTCGAGAAATGCTGGCAATAAATACAACATTTCTTCTATATCCCTAATAGGAATTCTTTATATATTTTTTTTTTCTTCATTTTCTTTCTTACAATTTTTGTATATTTGTAAAGATGTATACAAGAGCAAAATGTTACAAAGAACTAACTGTAACAAATCAAATATTTTTAATGAAATCACGTGTCACAGGCCAAATACATAATCTGAAAAAATAAGAGCAGTTTTGAACCGAGGAGCAAAGAGAAAAAATACTTGAAATAATATATATATATATATATATATATATATATATATATATATATATATATGAGCAATCAATCGATTTTTTTTAATTTGACATTATTTCTTATGACTATAAATTACTATAAACATTAAAATTTAGTAGGTAGACATGTTTGAGTAGCTATCCCAGTTTTATTTTTCTTTAAGCAGCGAAATTAACATCACCTAGCCTGGGAAAAATTTCCTTAAAGAAAATGTTCCTCTCAGCAGAAATTAAGCCTGCATTCTGTTTAAGCTGGGAAAACCACCTTTAAGTTTGGCATGAGTAAACAATCAGCAGGATTTGCTATGATGTCTCTTATGGCTGAGGGGTTAAGCATACCAGGCTTAAAAATGTTTTTTCCAGGATAAGGGGAATGCAATTCAATTACTATCAAGAGGCACATTTTGTTTTAAGTCAACTTTCAATTACCCAAGCTGGTAGATGTAACATCATTTAACAGGGGTGTTTACTCAAACACAGATGCCCCTCAATATAACGTTTATAGTAATATATATATATATATATATATATATATATATATTATGGAACAAAAATTGATGGTGCTTCATATTTTGTCTTTTCAAAAAAAAAAAAAAAAAAAAAAAGAAGGAAAGAAAGAAAAACGAAAGGGAAAGATACTGATTGATGTCTGTGATGAAATTTGGTCAAAATATTTTTGTTATGCCAAGAATGAGATGTTATGGCCAAGTTAAAAAGAGAAAATAACAAAATAATTAAGACAAGATCATGGAGAACAATCATTGCAATCAAGTTTAGGGAAGGAGAAAAAAGTATCACCTAAAGAAAAAAAAAAAGAAACAAGATATTGGTTTTATAGCTCTGAGAAGAAACCACCTGTACTGTCATCAAGTGAGGTTGGGTTCGTTTACAGGTATGTATTGTTGCCTTTATTGATAATTTTATCTGAGAGTTTCAAGAATGGAGGGTACACCAGCATAGCAAAGTACAAGACATTTGGTTCTTGGTAATGCAGAATAGGTGATTATTATTTTTTTGAAGTGGAGGTGGAGAAATTCGGTGAAGTATTTTCCCCTTTTTATTCAGTTTGTTTAGAACCAAGAAATCAAAATGACAAAATGAAGAAAGGAGGAAAGGAAAAAATAATTCACAAACTATAAAATATTTTCAAAATTTATATGAAAATTAAAAATCAAACCCACTTTATTAATTTAATTCAAGTGTTTTGTATCATTTTAGCACACAAGATAAGGTTATCTTGTCTTATGCTTGGCAAATGATTCGCTTTTAACATACATTAAAATAAGGCCAATTTTATTGACTTTTTTCTTTCTCTAAGTGGATATTTTCTGTAAGAATTAATCAGTTTTGCATTTCAAGAGTTGTTTCATAATCATTTACAGTATAAAACATTATTTCCTTCAAATTTTATCATATATTCTCTGCTTTTGTTATATCTGCTAAAACATTTGAGTCAAATTTCCATTGACTTTTTTATTGTTTGGGTTTTAACATCCAGTGCTTGCATGTAGATGTGGTAACATCTATTCTAAGGTTTTTTTTTTCTTTTTAAATAGACATGGTTAACAGTGTAGAGATTTTATTAATTAATTATTTTATGAAATTAGTTTTATGAAGGAACAGTTGATTGCAGCAGCAGCAGTAGTGAAAATGATGATGGAATCCTGATAACCATTTAAAAATGGATGAAAATGAACCAATAAAACAGTGAAATGGTGTAGTTGCCACCATATTGCTCTCCTTGGAGGGAAGGGGTCAGATGACCGAGTGAATTAATGAAGGAAGGAAGAAACAAGATCCGAAATAATATCCAGGAAACTATTTATCCCCAAATGCGCAGGCAGACACACACACACACACACACACACACACATCCTAGCAATTTTAAATTTTGTGGAGAATGATATAGAACCAATCAGAATGGATATGTAGATTTGAGTAAATGATAAAATTATTTGAGAGTAAAGGGCAGAAACTTAAAAAAAAAAAAAAGAAAGAAAGAAAAAAGCATCTTATAAAAACTCAAATTAAGGACAGCCAGTGTACACTTTTACCAAAACTGTTAAAATAGTTGGCACTGCATTGTAAATTATAACCAAAGAAAGAATTTTACAACTTATTTAAGCTGAAATGCAACACATGTATATGTGTACACATGTAGGAGTACATCATATAATATGCACACGAGTATAATCATATGATATGGAATGATATAAAAAAACATTGTATAAGAGTAGAGAAGAAACATTTTTCGATTAACAAATACTGTTTGCTTTCTAGAAGTAATATTTGGCTCCCTTCATTTTGTCAATCTCATCATTGTTGGAGATCATGGTTAACAACAAAACCAAACATGCAGACACACAAACATTAAATGCTTTATATAATAGTATCTTACCAAAAATGGGAAATGCTGTCTTCAATGATTACAATCCTGACTATTATTTTCTTGTTTTTTTTTTTTTTTAGGTAAAATCTTAAGAAAATCTCAGCATTATAATTTAAGTTTATAAATGAAATGAATGAAAAGAAAATGTATTTGCATTTGGAAAAAAATGTTCATTTTGTAGAATTCATAGCAGCAAGATTTTCTGCAGTATTATAAATAAAAATATATAAATAGAATTTCAATCCACACATGCCTCAGTAATGATATATATATATATATATATTTATTATATATATATATATATACATACATGTATACATCTCTCTCTCTCTCTCTCTCTCTCTATATATATATATATATATATATATATATGCATGCACACACATTCAAACACATGCATGCCTACATAGGAGTGTTGAAAAGTTCTTGGCCTAAAATTCTTCCCCAAATCTGACCAAACAACTAAGCATCTGTATTTATTTTAAATTTTTCCTTATATGGATGAAAGTCATCTTAAAAAAATCTAATGTTTGTTCATTTAGCCAGATTTTTGGGAAGTGGATCAAGTTGAAACTTTTTCGCATCCACACTTCATATATATATATATATATATATATATATATATATATATATATATATATATATATATATATATATATATATATGTGTGTGTGTGTGTGTGTGTGTAGGTATCTTAATTTTACTATGTGTCTCTTTTTAAACCATACATGTAGGCTGTGTTGTGCATACATATCTATTTGCAATGTTTTTTTTAAAAAAATCACCTTTGCAATGAAGGTTTCACAAAAATACAAAGAGGTTAACTGCATCCAATACTTGTGTCATGTTCTGATGAACATTTTTATTGTTAGTGTGGATTTACTGATGAGAATAACTGCAGCTGAATATGTGATAAGCATGTAGGTATAAACACTGATACATTTTCTTTATGTATTTTCTGAGTACATAGATAATTAAATAAGCATATATTAAAATTATTTGATTGTAGTGAAATTTTAACGTACAGACATGTTCAAACTAGAACATGTATTTGTGTCTCTGTATGGACAAAACGTGTGTGTGTGTGTGTGTGTGTGTGTGCATGCATACAAGTGCACAATTATACATTTGTATGTTTCTGCATTATATATAAGAGTGTGTGTATGTATATATATGTGTGTGTGTGTATGTTTGCATGCATCTATGAATATGTATGTGTATTTAGTTTTCACTACTTGGGATGGTTACATATTGGTCTAGATATAAAATAAAATAAAGGACAAAAGATTTTTAACTTTATATGTACAAAAATTGGTTGGTGTAAAAGAAAGTAAGGAAAAAGGGGGAAAAAACATTTTTTTTTCAACAAAAAAAAAATATTTTTTGTCTGGTAAAACCAATATGATGTCATGGCTTCTAATATAAAGTCTGATTATAATATTAAGAGTAACAAAAACAATAACAGAAAAATGGTCTATCATACAAACAAAGTAAAAATGTTGGCCTTATCTTCTCTCTGTTGTGTTGCAAAAAAAAAAAAAAAACATTATGAAGATATCAAGGTTATCTTTTTTTCCCCTTTATATATTACAATACTTTTCTTGTTTGTTTGTTATTTTGTTGATTTTTTTAAAAAATAGCACAGCTGAAATTATAAGCAATATCCTTAATAACCTCACCTCCCTTTATCAATACTGTTGTGTATGTTTAGGTAATGGTGTATATTTTAATCTATTTTTTTTTAATAATTTCTTCCATTTTCTTTTTTTTTTCATAAAACAAAAAAAAAAAATAAAAATATGCTTATGTATGAGTAAATAGTGGGAGTGTATCTGTTTCCTTTTTTTTCTCTCTTTTAAACACTTCTGCATGCTTTTCCCAAAGAAATCACTGAGTAAATTGTACAGTATATATGATAGAGATGAAAGCCAGCATAAAAAAGTGATGGATAGTCAAATCAACCCTTCTGTGTGTCATTCCTTTCAGTTATCATCATCATCATCATTTTCTTTTTTTTTTTTTTCCACAATAACAACAACAATGACAAAAACAATCATCAATAGGAACTGGTCAGCTGGATCTCTCTATCACCAGTAGTACGCTATATATCATTGGTTGTCGCCTTTGCACCCGGTGTTCCCTCGGAAGTATCTTAAAATAGAGACAACAACAACATCACTGCTGCTTTGGTAACTACTGCCACTGCTGCTGCCACTGCATTGGTAGTTGGTAGTGGATGAATGTCACAAGTCTCCTTGCAGTAGAAAAACTAGGACAGCGAGAGTATAAGTGGTGTAAGTATTCTCACGACGAGGCCTCCTCGATGAGTTTTTTGTACAGCTGGGAATTGAGGAAGCGTGGGTAAGGATCTTGATGCATTAAAGTATAAATTTGAAGTTGCGCTTCATCAAATGTGTGTGGAGACGGATCCAACATATTCTGATTTATCACCTCCCTCACTCTGGAATCTAAGCTCACCTGGGGACGAAAGAAAAAAAAAAAAAAAGAAACAAATAAATCACATGATAGCAATGAAATTTATAAAAAGTAAATATTTATATAGATATTATTTCTATAGTAATATTTTATATAGGTATTTATATATTTATAGAGTAATATCTTATATAGATATTTATATATTTATAGAGTAATATCTTATATAGATATTTATCTAGAAATATTTTATATAGATATTATTTATATAGTAATATTTTATATATTTTTAATAAGCTTTTGCTATATGCAATAAAAAGTAATAAAATTTAATTAGAAATACATTTTATATTTACAAAAGTCAAAAATAAATTGAATCAATATATTTCAATATTAAGAATTATGATAGAAATTTCCAATAATGATGAAATAAATATATATATATATATATATATATTGATCTGTTTCATCCCATTCAAGACTGTAAAGCCACTAAGACACAAGAGGTTACAGGGTGTGGAAGAAATAAGGACAGGAACATTAATAATGAGTGGGAAGAGAAAAGGTTTTATTAAGAGGATAGTAGATAGCAACTGACATTGCATTTAAATTTTTGCAGATTAAAGTTGGCTGGAAAGCATGGAGCTGGAATGGAGTTCCACATGCGAGAAGTGTGAGAAAAGAAACTGTTAGTGTAGAATTTATGGGTACATCTAGCAAGCTCAACTGTCAATTGATGATATCTTGATACCAGTCTAGCACTGCACTTAAATTCAAAAAGTCTAGGTGTCACAGTGAAGAGCTCATCTAAACAATTACCATGAAAGTATTTATAGAAAAAGCAGAGGGAGCTAACCTCACGGTGATGGGAAAGTGGCTGATGCCAAGCTGCCAGATCAGGACCAATAATATTGCTGATTCTTTTTTGGATTTTATCAAGGTGTTTAAGGTAAATATCAGGGGCACCTGACCATATGTGGCAGCAATATTCTAAGCGTGGATGAATGGTAGACTTATAGATATGAAAGATAGATTCTGGAGAGAAAAATTGTCTTGCACAACAGAGTGAAACAACTTTCTTAGCAGCTGACCTAGCAATGGATTCAATATAGTTTTACCAATTCATGTCAGCTAAGAAAGTTAGTCTGAGAAGATAGATAAAAGCTAAATGGTTTTAAATTTAAATTTTTTGGTGTTTTTAATAAAACACTTGCAAGTATTTCAAATTTCAAATTTGAAAGCTAGAATTAGTCTTTTCCTTCAGAAAGAATATAAATATGAGATCTGTTAATACATTCAATTAATTTATCAAACATCTGTCCCCGATGAGCAATTAGACAAGAAACCTATGAGTTGACTAATCAGATAAGTCACATGAACATTTCTTAATTTATTAAACATAGTAATCTTTTATATAGAAATATTTACATAGTAATCTTTTATATAGAAATATTTTTACTTTTATATAGAAATATTTAATAGAAATTTTATATAGAAATATTTACATAGTAATATTTTATATAGAAATATTTACATAGTAATATTTTATATACAAATATTTACATAGTAATCTTTTTATATACAAATATTTACATAGTAATCTTTATATAGAAATATTTACATAGTAATCTTTTATATAGAAATATTTACATAGTAATATTTTATATAGAAATATTTACATATAGTAATCTTTTTATACATATTTTAATATTTTTATATAGAAATATTTACATAGTAATCTTTTATATAGAAATATTTACATAGTAATCTTTTATATAGAAATATTTACATAGTAATCTTTTATATAGAAATATTTACATAGTAATCTTTTATATAGAAATATTTACATAGTAATATTTTATATACAAATATTTATATAGTAATCTTTTATATAGAAATATTTACATAGTAATATTTTATATACAAATATTTATATAGTAACACCCAAGACAAAAATATTTATATACAAATATGTTATATAGAAAAATTTTTGAGTAATATTTTATGTAGAAATATTTAGTTACAAATGAAATTAAATGTTCAACTTATCAAAGCTGCAAGGAAAAAAAACTGACTGAAAATAAAGGCTGAACAAAAAAAGGGAAGCTTGTAAAAATAGTAAAATGGGAAAAGTATAAACTTACCTCTTTTGGTGACAGTATAGAAATATAATCTTCATATATTAACCTGGCTTTTTCTTCTATTAGTTCTGAATTTTGTTCTCTCTTCAATTCTTCACATGCTAGCCAAAACAACATATTTTCTTCACTATATTCCATTCGTAGAAATTCTCGAAATTTTCTCCGGCCACCTGAAAAGTTAAAGTAAGCTAAATATGAAAAAACAAAAGAAAACTTATTTACATTAGGAATGATTTCCTTATTTTTGTTGTTTTCATCACAGTGTTTCAGCTATTGTGCCCCCTGGTCTTCTTCAGGTGTCTGTCAGGGAATTTCAAATTAAAACCTATAATTTACAGGGCAGATTATTCTCATCTGACTATGTTTAGAGATATCTTATTTTTATTTAGTACTGCTCAGTTATTGGTTGCCCTGTTCCCACTGAATTTAAGACTTTACTACCCGGACCAGGGATTGCATTCACAATTACTATGCCAATAAATTCATGAACTAATTCATTGGGCTATTTTGCTTGTGGGACAAAGATAATTACATTTGTCTGAATGTAAATAACAAAAACTGCTCATCCCAGGGAATTCAGACAGAAAAAAATTCTTTAGAAAATTAGTAGGTGAATAAATATAGTGTATACTTGTGTATAGTGTGAGTTTTTATGATCATTTTTTTTTTTACACAAAAAATAGGGGGTAAACTATACACAGGTAATTTTTTTGAAGAGGTTAAAAAATCATGTATTTTTGTGACTGGTTGCACTATACATAAGTAAATTTTTTCTTGAGGGGTTAAAATTCATGTAAAAACTTCTGGGGTCACACTATACATGAAATTGGCTTATACACAAGTATATATGGTATAAATTTTGTTTATATACACATTCTGGTACCTTTTCCTTTAAAGTCTTGTAAATGTTAAATAATACAAATCACTTAAACATCAAATAAGTAAATTACTGTCTGGATTCCTGGGATGAAATATTATTTACACTATTTATATTTTGACTATTGTCTTCATCTTTGTTATCACGTTTCAGCCGCTGCGCCCTCTGGTCTTCATCAGGTTTATATCTCTCTGGGTACCCAACAGGGAAGAAGAGTTATCATTATTTACACTATTTACATTCCAACTATTGTCCTCATTATTGTTTTAGTTATCACATTTCTGCTGTTGTGCCCTTTGTCCTTGATCATGTGTATGCCAATTTGGGTAACCTACAGAGAATTCCGAACTGAACCCTTTATTATATGAAGGGTTCAGTTTCTTATATAAAGTGTTCATACATGATTATATATGGTACTTAGAATTAGAAAGAGATAGCTGAAATTTCTCAGGCACATCATGTGGAAAGATGGCTTGGAAAATCTGTCACTCACAGGAGATACTGAAAGTAAGAGGGACACAGTGAAGCAGCCTACCTGGTTGGCAGAACAGGGATGAGGAAGTATAGCAAAATAACAACAGTAGTAAGAACTACAAATAACAGGAAGTTGTGGAGAGCCATGATCATCCATGTTGTGAATGGATATAGAAGAAGGATGCTTTAAAATATTCAGAATTTCTGATAAAATATCCATTTTTAAGCCACTGTGCATGTCTAAACATCCTCATTATGTACCATGGCCCCTCAGAATGTAGGTGATCATGGCCCTCCACAACTTCCTGTCTCTTGTAGCTCTTAATAAATTTTGTCGTTTGGCTATTTCTCCTAAAACCTGTTCTGCCATCCATTTACTAAAGCCCATCAAGTATTTTGTGCACTGTTTTCCTATGTTCCTCAATCTGTCTCTTTATGTGTCACAGAAATTTCAACTGTTTCTTTCTTCTTGATGTTACATTTCTTTTTGTTTCTAATTTCTCTAAAAACTCAAATATTTGGTCCATGTTATCTTCAGCATCCTTTTGTAGAACCAGATTTCTGTTGCTTCAAGTCTCTTTTTCATCTTTGAGGATATCCACTAATTGAACACTATAGCATTTGTTGATTGCAATATAATAAGAAAATAGTTCCAAAAGATAGTAAAGGATTAAAATAACTTTACTCACCACTACTTCTAATAAGTCTGTCAAATGATTCGGACCAGTTTTTCATTTCTTCTAATGATAATCTGTTGGTTAAGGAAATAAGGTGAAAACAAATGTAATATCAGAATTAAAAACAAATACAAAATGAAATCAAAGAAAATGTGTGCAGAACTGAATAAAAAAAAAATTACATTAGATCATTGATTCTTAACCCTTTTCCTTGTTTGTACCCCTTTCAAACCAACAACCAGTAAATAGGTTCTCAGCCAGACTCATTTTTTTTAAAAGTTACTAGCTTGGTTTTTGTGGTATTAAAAGTTACTGGCTTGTTGAAAATTACAAGTCAATTTTGCCACCATAGGATTGTTGGAGCTCAGTCAGATAGGAGATCAACTGCCAAGCACTGGTCATCTAAATTTTTGGAAGTGCACCCATAGACTGTAGTGTCATCTGACTAGATATTTACGTTACATGTATTTTTTTCTGATAGCAGACACAAATTTTGAAGCAAAGTAAACAATTTTTGGCATAGTTGCAGATGCACTTCAGGATGGCTACTAGACTAATCTAGAGTACTTAGGGTACAGTGGGTTTAGTAGGATATCTGTTGGATTACAATGAATTTGGGTCAGCACTGACAATGGGTGGATCTCAGAATCTCCATCACTCTTGGTAGGGATTCATCTCAGATCAACCCTACACCTAGCTTTATTTGAGGCTCTGATGTGAAATTGAGTGCCAAGCCTATTCCAGGATAAAACTACTTAAGCCACATAAGCTCTCCACAAATTCCTTTTATTTTAATATATAATTTTTAATTGTCTTACTCTTCTTCAGCACTGTTTTCAATGTCTCGTTCTTTGACTGGATGTGCTGGTAGTGTAATGGTTAATAAGCTGGAAACAGAATTTGGTGATCCAAGTTCAAATTACAAGTTTGATACGGTGACTTTTGCAAAAATATCTTTGGAAAAGGTATGAATTCACCTCTTCACAACTATGAGTTAAATAGCAAGGTTGACTGAAGAGGCAACCAGTCAAGAAGGAAAATCAATTTGAATAGAGGGATGGGATCTGTCAGGTTATCTTGGCCAAGATATACCACTGCTATGCTAGGATTACTGTACATATGGTGTCCTAATGACTAATGGATTACAGGACCTGTCAGAAGACCAGGTGCCCTAGCAAGCTTTGAGAACTCAGTTTTCCCTACTATTTTACTTGATGGTGGATTCATGTCAAGAGCAATAGTGTGAATTGAATAGAACAGCATGAAACAGAATTTGAACTCAGCCTCCTTATTTTATTTCACATGCCAATAACTTTTTTATCCGTGACTTCTTATTTTGCACATAAAGCCAGTTAGATATTTTTGTTTATATATTTGTATAAAATATCTATCTAGAGCAGTGTTTTAACCAGGGGTGTAATGTTGATTCCTAGTGGGTGTGAGGATACAGAATCATTAGGGTTGGTTTATTAAGGAAACTTTAGTGTAGTGTTGAAGATGACAGTGACATCAAGGAAGATCTCATCAATCTGAGACATTATCATGAAATCCAAATCTGATGGTTGCCTGGAGCAAATCTGGGCTTCTCAGTTGGAAATGTATCCTGTACTGGCAAAAAAAGCTCTTGCCTTTCGTTACTACATATATGTGTGAAACTGGATTTTCCTGTCTGTTTCATATCAAAACCAGAAATCGACTGGATCTCCAACACGATATGCTAATAGCATTCAGCCCCAAGACACCAAGGTCTGATGTTTTCATAAACAGAAAACAACAGCAACAAAGTCACTGAGTTTGTTGCTCAACTATAATCACACACAACACACCATGCATAGTACAAGCACATGTTACCGTAATTTTATTTTTTTGTTCATATGAACTTTGATTTTTAATTAGTCATTTTCTTGTTGCCATAGTAGGCACAAAAATTCAACCACACTATTATCTGAGTTGCATGCAGTGGCTGTACAAACATTTTGTTTGACAAATGAAATCACCTACATACAGAGTGCTAAAGGTTACCTTGATTTCAGTTATGTAAATAAAAAGTAAAGAAACAGTGGTGACTTTATTACACATGAGATCAATATTATTTTTCATCAGTCCTAAAAAGGGGTCAAAATATTGGACTGAAATAAAATGTAAAGTTAAAATTTGAAAAATTCAAGTTTCATGTTCTTCATTAGCCTGCTTATATTATCATTTTAGTGATACTACCCCCACTTCATGACATCTTTATTCTGAAATTCACTGTAATCCAACTGATGTCCTACTAAACCCACTGTACCTTAAGTACTCTAGATTAGTTTAGTGGCCAATCTGAAGTGCATCTGCAACCATGCTGAAAAATGTTTACCTTGCTTCAAAATTTGTGTCTGCTATCAGAAAAAATACATGTAAAGTAAATATCTCATCAGATGACACTACAGTCTATGGGTGCACTTCCAAAAATTTAGATGACCAGAGCTTGGCAGTTGATCTCCTATTTGACTGAGCTCCAACAATCCTATGGTGGCAAAATTGACTTGTAATTTTCAATAAGCCAGTAACTTTCAATTCCACAAAAACCAAACTAGTAACCGTTTAGAAAATGAGTTGGGCTGACAACATATCTACACCACCTGGTATTTTAAGAAAGAACAACAAATAATATTGCAGCTGTTTCTGAAAAAATTAACTGTGAAAGAGATACACCATTTTATTTGTTTAGAAAAATATGCACCCTCCTTTAATCAAAAGCACTATTTGAGCTTTTTTTGATCAGGGGGCCCTATATGGCCAAGAGATCAAGGCAAGTCAGATCCTACCGGAGGGCACATATTTTTCTAACAAAATTTCTCGGATATTCAGGCCAGTAGATGGAAATAAATAAATATACTGTTTAATAAATAAAAACAGCATTTACTCAAATAATGTTTAAACAAATAAATGAAAAAAATCTGTCAGATTAAATCTATTTCCTAAAAATCTGTCTTTGTTTGCATATACAAAACAGAAAATATTACTGATGTGTATCAAATACATATGTTGGTACAATTAAATTATTTCCTTCAATCTTGGAAAAAAATTCTTCTACAACAAGGACTCAGAGATGCTTTTGAACTCTATCAAGACTGGAAAGTGAGGACTGGGCAGCTTCCACCCAAATATGACAACAGTATTTCATTTTCAGTCTGATTTGGCTCTTATAAAGGTAGATGATAGCATGAGGAGTCAGGTACTTACTGGAGCGGTACAGAGATCCGACAATTTTACCTGCATCTTTAGCAATTGATCATATGTATGAGTTTCACATGAGGTCAGGTATGAGTTTAAGGCTCAATAGTCTCTCAAGTCACAGTGCCTCCCTAAGGGGACAACTATTCATCATGACTGGTGGTATTAAAATATTTCTAGCCTATCAATAACAACTGTTTCAAAAATAGGACAATGAGTATTGGTTTAATAATGATATTTCAGGATGGGAAAACTGCTTATAAAAATTGTAGTAAACATGTAACTATTATTTTTAAGATCATTTTTCATTTAATTTCTTTTGATGTGACTCACAAATTTGTTGCTTTGTAGACTTCTTGGTAAGATTTTTAATTAGAAGTAGAATGATTCTGTTAGCAAAAGTAGGTATTAAAATCAAGAATATTCAAGTGCAATTGAATTTCTTCCAATCTTTTCAATGTGTAAAAACAAAGCCTCATAGACACTGCTTTCTTGAAAGTATTGTGTCATTATTAATCTAAAGATCTCATCTAAAGCTAATATAAATTAATAACACTCACATTGATTTAGACCTGCTTAAACTCATCAATTTAAACAAAACATGTTTTATTTTCTCTGTCACCCTGATGAGAAGTTTCTGTGAAACTTTTAATTACATGAAGTAATAAAAATTTAAATACCTAAGTGTTTTAACAGAGAATGGAAAAGGAGACATCAAAATACGAAGTCATTTATTTTATTAACAATATGTGTCATTTTTAAACAACTTTCAAGATACTTTTTCAATTTCATTTTTTTTCCAAAATTATCATTTCTCATTTTTAAAGATATCTATAAATTTTTTATGAATGAAAAATAGTTTGAAAATAAATCTTTGAATGTAAGAGTAAATCAAAAAAAAATAAAGAATGAACTCTAAGGAAAGCATTTATTAATATAATTTTATTTTATTTTATAGAATAATTTTGCTAATAACAGAATACAAAGTAAAAGTAACATTAATTTTAATTGTAATATTAGCCATTTCTTTATAAGGAAACATTTTACATTCATTCACTGAGCAGCCAGTGTTGCTTTCAGTTCAAATTTGTAAAATCTTTCTCTGAAAACAATTTTTTAGGAAAATAGGTTTCTCAAGTCCAGTAGCTCTTATCATTCTTTCCAATATTCATGAGGACTTCCTTCTTAACATTTTATTTGAAGTAGTGTAGAATGTCAACATCTTTATTATGTCATTATTTTTTCTTTGAATTATGCGATATCCATTCTAATTGTCACTGCTATTGGTAGTCCTCAAGTGATGTGGTTTCTGTTATTTGGTACAGTTCTTTGTGCCAGTCCACAATGTTTGGAGAATGATGGTTCTCACTAAGACCTACAGGATTTACTTTTCAAATCCATTTTTAACCATTGATCTGCAGTTGTATACAGATGACAGTTTAGATATTTATGTTATGGCATCAGCCATATGATGTCTCCAGAAGGAATAAAATTGAATGGAGATAAAAGAACAAGCTGGTTTGGGTGTAAATAATGATACATGAGTATGTGCATCTACTAGTAGATAAATAAAAAAAATATATCTAAAAGCTCAGGCGGCACGGTGGAGTAATGGATAGCGGCTTGGACTGAGAGCTGAGTTCGAATTCCAGTCAAATCCATTACATTCACTTATATGCTAATACCCTTGGGAAAGGTATGAATCCTCTTCTCCCCCCAATTATGGGTAATTAGCAGAACAGAGTGGGTTCTATAGCCTTGGATGGCAACTGGTCTACCACAGAAAGAAATGGCAACCTACAGTGGGAAAAAATCTGCCTCGTCAGTCATGTATCAAAAGATACGTAATCGTCTAAGTATGTATCGTGTATGTCACATAACTGATTTAAAAGCTCAACATCAAAATAGACATTTGATTAATGCTACTGTTCAACTTAATTCTTTCTTCTTTTATTTTTTTCAATTTTTTTTTTTTTTTTACACAGCATTGCTTTAAAAGAAACTCAGGATTGTAATTATAAGGTTTTGAGAATATGTAAATTCTTCATGTCAAAATGAAAAAGTTCCAATAAAAAGAAAACACCAAAATCTTACATTTCTTCTCGATCACTGTTAGAATCCAATTCCTTTGATCGGCTTTGTGAGAGGTGATCATTTTTCACAACCATGCTGTTATACAAAAAGAAAAGAGAAGAAACATTAAGTAATCAATCAGAATTAAGAATGCAATGACTAAGGATTTCTATGAAATAAGATCAGCAAAATTAATAGAAGACACAGACAAAGGACAATGGTCAAATTATTCTTGAGTTGGTGTATAAATAGCATAGTGGTTATCAGCGCAGGGAGTGAAACTGGCATACAGAGTTCAAATTCCAGCTGAGATCGTTGTGCTCACATTTGTATAAATACCTTTGGGGAAAGTATGAACTCTTCTTTCTTCCTCACAGTGATGGGTTAAATAGCAGGGCAGACTGGGTTCTCTAGACTTAACTGGCAACCAGTCTAGAAGAAAATACTGAATTCAAAACCTGTGATGGCTGACCCTCAGTCAGCAGGATGGCAATGTTTAATGGCTAAACCAGCAAAAATGCTATGATCAGTGGATCTGAATTGATTGATTGATTTGTTTAACCACATATCAACTCCTTATGGGTCATTTAATGCTGAAATTTAATTTTCTTGGGATCTTTGAAGTAATAAAAATATGATATGTTATTCTGCTTCCACAATTGGATACATGGTAGATGATGCTTAGGTTTTGTGCATATACAGGTTTGCAGTGACAAGCAGAAGTTTGGTGATGTCAAGATGAACTTCTTTATTGTATACCCATAAAACTCAAATATGTTGGAATAAAAATGTGTTTATTTTTTTTTTTTTTTTTTAAGAATATTTTGTGCTTTGGACCGACCTAAACTTTTTTTGGGGGTGTAAAAATACTCTTAGATGCCTAATACAAGAGGGGTATTAATTGGGTGGGTAAAATTTTTTTTGTCAATTTTTAATAAACGGGGGTTTTAATGAAAGAGGCGATTGGAAAATCATTTAAAGGGTTAAAAATTGATAAATTAATAAACAGCGTGTTCTTAATAAATTCAATCTTTTTATCCAATACAAAGCCTAAGAGCCACTCAATGTAGAGATTTACTGAATGAGTTTGTTGAAAGTAGATAATGGTTGACATTAAACTTGAAAAGGTTAAGATTGTAGTGAATGGGGAAGCATCCTCTCAGGAGTCTCTTCCACAAAGTAGGGTGTTTGGAAGATTTCCTAAAAAGAAAATAAATATCCTCCCACCATCTATTAAGTGCCTACAAACAAAGTTCTAAGATAGTTAATCCAACTAAGTAATGTTTAAGTGCAACATTAACTGTTTTTTATATGAATTGCTGTTAAAATCCAAAATTTTTTTAAACTATCATATTTGTTATTGTTTTGGTCATAATGTTTTTTATGTACCCTTCTTTAGCTCTCTTCAAGTGAAATAGTGTATGGTGCAGTGTCTATTCTTGGTTAGCTTTGCTTACTATACAGTCTCATGCTTACCTGGTGCTTTCAGTTGTGTAGAATGGTAAAAAAAAAAAAAAAATATATATATAAAAACAACAAATTCTGCACTAGACAAAAATCAACTGAAAATATCTGTGAAGTGTTTTAACAGAGGACAGAAATTGCGATACCAAAATCTGAAGGTACATTGGGATAGTGAAAGTAGCCTTCCCAAAGGTAAGCAAGCATTAAGAAACAGGAAAATTTCAGTGGAAACAAAGAAAAAGAGTACTGAACTGTTATGTAATATCAGTCCTTCTATATGACAGTAAATACTTGACAATCTCCTCAAAGATGAAGAAGAGATTTGAAGCAACAGAAATGTAGCTCTACAGAAAGATGCTGAGAATACAATCAACTGAACATGTAAGCAACAAGTTTTAGAGAAAATGAAAGCCAAGGATAATTGTACTTAACACCAGAAAAGTTAAAATTTCAAGGGCACATAATGAGGAAGGAGGGCTTAGAAAATTTGATACTCACAGGACAGATTGACAGCAAGAGGGATAGAGGAAAACCTTTGCATAAACTATTTAGTGAGTTTGAGTAAATGGCGGGTGGAACATGGTTTATGAGAAATGACAAAAGTACAAAATTTATTAAGAGCTACAAAGGAAATTGTGAAGAGCTATGATTGCCAACATCCTGAAGGGACATGACACATAGAAGAAGTCAGTAGAGGAGTAAGTTCATAAGAGAAATGCTGTATAAGCTGATCAGCAAGAAATTATGAAAATTATTTCTTCATAGTGTAAGTAAGAGAGTTTTGTTTGAACCACAATCCTTGTGACACTCAGTTTCAATGCAAACCACTGAACTATCTTTCTTATATTTTTTCCATGCAAGTGTTGTTCACAAGACATGAGTATACCTGCCTACTTGCTCACTAACACCAATCTAACAAAATTCTCAGTATGTTATCTCTTGATAAAATGTGCCCACATTGTGAAGATAGCTAATAAAAATCCACCTTCTACCTTAACATTGCTGAAAATTAGAAAAAAAAAAAACCCAGAGAAAAAGAAAAGAGAAAAAGATTTGGAATGGTTAGATGAAGAAAAAAGAAAGATCACAATAAACAAGTAGACACAATCACAGATTACCATAATTGAACCAAAGTAGTTGACATAAACTTGCTGGAGGAGAAGGCGAATGAAAAGATATTTCTCGTTGTATTCACAACAACCGCTGACAGAATACATTGAATGAATGCTGGCAAAACCTCTTTGCATGTATTTCTCTCTTTACTGCTCTTTCCATTCTGGATGATTTAATCACATGATCTCATGCATATGCTTCAAGAAGTTCTTTATATAATATATGCAAGTATGCTACCCCCAAGGATATGACGGTCACTCTCGTTGCTTTATAACAAAAGAAAGAGAAATAAATAAAAATAGAAAGAAAAAATATCACTTCTAATTGCATTATTATCAAGATTTTGCAGGAAGCAATCATGAGTTTTGGCTAAGATTCACAACAGATCTGACTTGCAAAGAGTCTATGACCAGCAGCTTGTCAATGAGATGGCAACATTAAGCATGCTCTAAATAACAATCAACCAGCTGTTGCACATATACATGTGTGCATATGCACTTGTAACAATACCTTTGAACAGAGAGAAATGAACAGTCTTGGCTGAAGAAGCTTTGTGTAGATTGGAACAGAATAAATTGCTTAAAAAAATAAGAATAAAAAGATTTTTTTAATCAAAACTTGCTTTCCTGAATATTATGTGAATATGGCTATTCAGGATCTGCCAATATTTTTTTTATTGCCAAATCCCCGTCTTTCTTAGAGTGAAAAGTGTCATGAGTTTGTGTGTATAATTCCAAGTTGAATTAATTCCTATCAAGAATTTGGGTATCAGATTTCAGATTGCAAAAAGAACTGGGTAAGATTGGCAACACTGTATTCTGGGCATAAAATACACATGTATAATTTGAATACTTTCAAAAAAAATAATATTCAACTAATATCATCATTCTTATATTTTCACATTAATTTGATTTGTAATCCTAATAATTTATAATCATATAATTCTGGGGTGATCAGGAAACTAGAGTATCAAGCATAGACATTTAGATATTAGTCTAGTACCTGTAACCTTTAGAAATGTTGAAACAGACAGATATCATCTTTTATGAATTCATGTAAGGCTAATTTTTTTCTTACAGAACAAAACAGCTGAGCCCATACAGTTAACATATGGTGATTTTCTAAGTGTAGCTTAAGTATGGGGCACCCAGTGAGGGTCCAACTCACTACTCAGTTTTAATTGTTCTAACAAGACAAGCTTGCTGACCATTATACCACATAGAAGTGCCCCAATGATTTTGTAAACAGATGTGGCACAAGGCTGAAAGTATTGAGGATTGAACTCACTGCTCAGTCATAATTGCTCTAGTATGAAAATCTTGCTAACCATTACACCATGTTGAAGTTCCCAAATACAGTTAACATATGGCTATTTTTCAGCACACCCATGTTGCTACTGAATATGAGACAAGCTCAAGGTTTAAAGTGGGTTTACCAGCAATACAATGGAAAAATTGCCCAAACCCCATTGGCACTTCCTCTTTTGGTGATGCCATCCTGGGGCTGGAGTTTAATATTTTTTAAATTTGCCCAGTGGTACCAGGTAAGTATAAATGATTTTCTAAGTGTAGCTTGGGTGTGGCACAAGGCTGACAGTGTGGAGCACCCAGTGAGGATTGAACTCATTACTCTGTCATAATTGATCCAGCAAAGCAAGCTTGCTAACCATTGCATGTTGCAGTGCCTCAAATACAGTTAATATATGAATGGTTTACTATTGGACTTTTATATATATTACTACAAATGCTGTTTACAACACAAGCAGTAACATTTAATTTTCATAATAGTTTTTAAATATATTTAATAAATATTTTATCCATGTTTATTTTTAAATCAAATTTTTAAAATTGTTATAGATAAGCAATGTTTCTGTTGATAAAGTTTTTTTTCTTTGAAATTCATTGTTTATATAAAAAGAATTTACATACACTGTATAAAAATCCATTGGTAAGTTAGTAGAAAAGATATTGGTGTGTTTATATTTAGAGTTTTTTTTTTTTTTAAATCAATTCACACCAAGCAAGGTGACAAAGCCACTAAGATGCAAGGGGCTACTGGGAGTGAAAGAGAATGAAAAAGACTGAAAAAGCAACCAGAAACCCAGTCTTAAACATGAAACAAGGGATAAACTTCTACTCCTTTTCAAAAGGTCAGAGAGGACTGTAAACTGGATGATAAGCAAACCTCTCTACAAAAATGTAAAATAAAGGAAATTTTAGCTTCTAAAAATAACTTTTTTTTTTGATCGAAGGGAACATATGGTAAATAGTTTTAAAATCATTAAAATTTCTAGATAGAATTCTATAGTTTTAGGCTCAGAAACATTACATAGAATCTCATTTTCTGCAGCATCCATTATTGTTGTCTACCATTTTAGATGAACAAAAATTAGTCAAATTGAGCAAATATTTTGGAGCAAACATGGACCTTCATGCCTGCAAAAAACTGAGTGTCAAAAGTATGGTTTTTTTCCCATGACACCACTTTTATTATAACTACCTTCACTTTTCAGCAATTTT